GAGCTGGACCAGTCCAAAGCCAGGAGTCAGGAGCCTCATCCAGGTCTCCTATGTGGGTATAGTGGCCCAACCACTTGAGCCATCCTCCACTGCTTTCCCAGCACATTAGCAGGGAGTTGGATTGGAAGTGGAGCAGCCAGGATACAAACCGGTACCCATATGGGATCCCTGCACATGCAAGGCGAGGACTTTAGCCACTAGGCTTCCATGCAGGGCTGTTGGCCCCACTTTTTCATACCAAGTCTTTCCAGTTCAATGTCTAGAAGAGGGTGGGAGGAAAATAACTGCTTACTCTCCTAGACTCTTCATTCTAGGAGTTCCTTACATTTGCCCTATCAAGATTTTATCTGTAACAAAGAACCTGAGAAACCAGTTTTCCAAAAGTGGCAGGACCAAATGCAGTAACCTCAGACAGCCAAGTGTCCAAAAGAGATGCCGATAGGAATTTACAGGTTAGGTCCACCAATGGCCAGCTACAGACTCTGACATGGCAGGAACCAAGCTTTGTTGAGGAGGGCACAGGGGAAGAGAAAGGAGTGCAGCAGGAAAGTTGGCATGTGGGAGGAAAATATTTGTTGTTAATCAGGCTGAGGTCCCTCATAGCCATTTTTTGTTCAACCATGCAGGCAGCTGAACTCGCCATCAAGTTTCTGCCTCCTCAGCGCAGCCTGGAAGTGGTTCGGGCTGTTGGACCCCAACTGATTGGAATTGGAAAGCACAGTGCAGTAAGTAGCGTGGCAAGACTGTGGATAAACAGATTCCCCAGGCACAACAGGGTAGAGCAGTGACACCCCTGGCACACTGGGCCTCCAGGCAGGTGCAGCGAGAAACCAGCAGTGGAGGAGGCCAGGTCCCGCCTAACTCCCCCTTGTGCAGGCTGCAGAGCTCTATCTGAACCTGGACCTCATCAAAGAAGCCATCGATGCGTTCATGGAGGGCGAGGAGTGGAACAAGGCCAAGCGTGTGGCCAAGGAGTTAGACCCACGGTAAACTCTCGCCCTCCTTGTTGCTGGGATAGCTTCTTTCACTTGCGCAGATGGGGAGGATATACCCACAGTGGCAAAAACCGTGCAGTTAGACACCAATCCATCTCCACAGGTATGAGGACTACGTGGACCAGCACTATAAGGAGTTCCTCAAGAACCAAGGCAAAGTGGACTCGGTGAGACAGGCAGAGGCTCCAGACAGGCTGCAGCCAGCAGGGCCCCTCACCACTGCCTCCCGTCCCTCCCGTATCATCGTCCTTGTCCCTGAACTTAGTGTTTTCCTCTGATCCACAGCTTGTGGGTGTGGATGTGGTGGCTGCTTTGGACCTGTATGTGGAGCAGGGCCAGTGGGACAAGTGCATCGAAACAGCCACCAAGCAGGTGCCACTCGCCCCTTCCTGTCCCTGCTCCTTCCCTTTCTCTCTCCAACCCAAGTGCATGTGTCTTGCCTCTCCCAAAGCCCAAACCCAAGCTACTCCCACATCAGCCTCAGAACGCTCAGACCTGCACACCCCGAAAGTGGGTCAAAGGTTTACATCTGCCCTTTGCTTCTTAAACAAACCTCTGGACTCAGATCACCCCAGTCTGCTCCCTGCCTGACCCTGCTGATCCCAGCCTGGCCCATGCTTTTCCTCTACCCTGCCAACAGAACTACAAGATTCTGCACAAGTATGTGGCTTTGTATGCAACCCACCTGATCCGAGAGGGCGGTTATGCCCAGGCCCTGGCCCTCTATGTACAGCATGGAGCCCCTGCTAACCCACAGGTACCAGCCCTCTCCTGGGGTGACTAGTGCCTCCAGGACTTGCCTCTTCTCAGAGCCCCCAGCCCCTCAGGAACTGTCTTCAGCCCAGAGTCCCCATGCCAGCCTTTTCTGTAGAGTACAGCCTCTGGAGAGAGCCATGGACCATCCCACCCCACCCCATGACCCCCAGCTTAGCCAGTGTTTCAGGGCAGAATCCCACATGAACCTCCAGGGCCTCCTGCCTCCCTCCTACAGACTCAAGGCCCACGAATGCTGGGCCTCAGGGCTTTCAAGCAGCAGCTCACACCTGCAAAAAGTTATAGTGACTTTCTTGCTCCATTCTTTTCACTGTCATTGGCACAGGCTCACCTGCACACACGCACACATCAGAGCCCATCTCTCCTCCCTCTGGCACTGCTTCACTGATTATGTCCCCCAGTCGTGGCTTTCTCACTCAGATATGCTTCCCCCAACCTCTAGAACTTCAACATCTACAAAAGGATCTTTGCCGATATCGTGAGCTCCCCAGGGACCAACTGTGCCGAGGCCTATCACTGCTGGGCTGACCTGAGGGACGTCCTCTTCAACCTGGTGAGGCAGCCAGTGTGGCCGCAGGGTGGAAGGGCCGCTCTGTCTGCCCCAGGCCAGCCTCTTCCATGCTCCAGACCCTTTCCCCTTGGGCGCATCTTACCTCCCTGTGGCCAAGAGCCTCCCTCACCTAGAAAGTGGCCACAGAGAGGCCTGTCAAGGGGCAGGAGGAAAAGAGGTCTCCTGTCTATTGGTTCACTCGCCCACAGGGCAGCAAAGACTGGGGCTAGGAAAAGCACCAGCCAGAAGCCCAAGAATGCCACCTGGGTCTTCCACAGCAGCGCAAGGGCCAGCCTCTATTGCCTTCCCAGGCACATCAGCAGGGAGCTGGATTGGAAGTGGAACAGTGCCCATATGGGAATGCTGGTGTTGCACTTGGGAACTTAACCTACTACAGCACTGGTCCCATGCTCTCCTTCCCTAGTGTGAAAATCTTGTGAAGTCTAGTGAGGCCAACTCTCCAGCCCACGAGGAGTTTGAGACCATGCTGCTGATTGCCCACTATTACGCCACTCGCTCTGCAGCCCAGAGCGTCAAACAGCTGGTGAGACATGGAGGGGGTGAGGAGTAGTCATGAGGCGTGACTTCAGATGTGTGAAATTGGATGGATTCAAATTCTAGATCCCCAGGCTTGGGCTCTGGAAGCTCCCTGCCTCTCTTCCAGCTGCTCTTCTAATCAATCTTTGACCCCTGAGCAGAGGTTTTTCTTTCTGTACCAATTTGACCTTGGGGCTGTGCCCACACACACAGCTCCCACTTCATTGTGTAAACATTTCAAGTCCTTTGATCTCTTTATTCATCTCTATTTATAACATGCACTCACTTCTTGCTTGTTCATTGTTTTATTGTAAATTCATGTGCTTGGAAAGCAGAATTCTAGAAATGGGAAGAACCTTAGAAATAATCTAAGCCCAGTTCTCTTGTGCATATTTAACCAAAAAAAAAAAAAAAGCCTATGACACAGAATGGCGGTGTACCTCGGGGCAGTACTGACTGGAGTTCCTGGTTCTGGGCCTCTGAGTCAGGTAGCTCACGCATTGTGGCGAAAGCATCATAACCCTTCCTCTTCAATCCCCAGGAAACAGTGGCTGCCAGGCTTTCGGTTTCACTTTTACGTCACACTCAGCTACTACCTGCAGACAAGGCCTTCTACGAAGCGGGCACTGCTGCCAAGGTGCGCCAGGACCAGGAAGGGTGGGGCCAACATGTTAGGGAAGTTAGAAGCTAGAAAATAGAGACTGTCTCTCTGCACATGTCCAGCAAAGCTGAGAGCTGCAGGCTTGACCGTGTCCGGGGATACAGTTCTCCATCCTCCAGGATTCCCCACCCTTACCCCACATCCCTGAGAAGCAGGCCCAAGCCCAGCTCACTCAGACCCACCTAGGCCTTCTCTCTACTTACAGGCGGTTGGTTGGGAGAACATGGCATTCATCTTCCTCAACCGCTTTCTGGATCTAACGGATGTGAGTAGAAAGGCTGTGCCCAGGAGTTGGTAGGTGTGGTGTCACACTGCGTCTGTCTCATAGTTACCCACTTGGCCACAGGCCATTGATGAAGGGACTCTGGATGCCCTTGATCACTCGGATTTCCAAGATACGGACATTCCTTTTGAGGTGCCACTCCCAGCCAAACAGCACGTACCGGTAAGGGCACAGGATTGGCCACGGGGAAGGCCACCCCAGCGTGAGTGCATTGAGGGGGAGGGCATCGCAGTGTAAGGCTGGGATTGTGTCCCCAGAGATCACACATGACCAAGGCTGAAAATAGAACAAGGGTTTAGCAAAGCCCATTCCACAATCCCCACTCATCTCTCCCTGCCCTTCCCAGGAGGCCCAGAGAGAAGAGGTTCGAGACTGGGTGCTCACCGTCTCAATGGACCAGCGACTGGAGCAGGTTCTACCTCATGATGAGCGAGGGGCCTACGAGGCCTCCCTGGTGGCAGCAAGCACCGGGGTCCAGGCATTGCCCTGCCTCATCACAGGTATGGGCCCCCACAGTACCCCATATCCCAAGGCAGGTGGGAGGGAGGGGACTACAGGAAGATAAAGAAACCATTTTACTGTGGATGCAAAAGATGGGACCATCCTACTCTCCCTCTCCCTGGTCTCCCCTTCATTCTGTCCCCTCGGTCTCTCAAACCTCAGCTCATCCTTTTTCTCCTTCCCCCACAGGATACCCCATCCTGAGGAACAAAATTGAATTTAAGCGGCCAGGGAAGGCTGCCAATAAGGACAACTGGAATAAGTTCCTCATGGCCATTAAGGTTAGAGAGGGAGGCTTGAAGGGTGAGGGAAAGCAGAGAAGCAATGAAAGGGAAAAGCGCCCCAGAGGGTGGGTGGGATTGCTAAGAAGGCTGATGCCAGCTCTGAGCTCCTCTGCTGGAACACTGGGGTGGTGCCGACTGTCTTGGGGTCAGCCATGTCCTCAGCATTAGTGTTCTGTCCGTTTGTTCACAGACCTCCCACAGCTCCGTGTGCCAGGATGTGCTCAAGTTCATCAGCCAGTGGTGCGGAGGGCTACCCAGCACCAGTTTTTCCTTCCAGTGAACGCTGGAACAGAGAACAGCCAGGGTCTCTGCCCCATTAAAGTTTTGTAAGTAACTGAGACCACTTGTACGCTTTGGTCAGTGCCCCCACTGCCGCACAGTGCCGCTTGCTCCACAAGGAATCATACCAACCAAAGAGAAGAAAAGCTCTTTTATTGCTATGGTTTGTGTCGCCCTGGGTTGAGAACCCCATGCTCAGTAGAAAGAGCCCTTGTGGACTGACTGGATCTTGGGACAGCACCTGGTTCACAGAGGCAAGAACCAACCAGGTCAGCGCAGCTGACCCCACTGCCTCCCCAGCCCCCTCAGCCCAGCCCCTGCTGCCCACCCTCACCTGCCCTAGACCCAGCTTTTCTGTGACACCGGCCTCTCCAACCCGCCATCCAGGAGCTGCACGTTTTCTTGCCTCTTACACTTGGGCGGTTCAAGCTCCATCAGTTCCTCCAGCTGCAGAAGAGGGCAGAGTCAGCCCTGGGGCCCTGAATTGCTGATCCCTGCCCTTCCTGCCAGGCCACCCCGCCTCACCTGGCCCTGGAGCTCCTCCTTCCTGCAGGGCCCCACTCCACGCAGGGTGAGTGCAGCCACGCAGCAGTAGCCAGAGAGGGCAGCCTCTGCTGCAGACATAAACAAGGAAGGAATCCAGAGGGCCAAGGCTGTGTCCTGGAAGGCCAGAGGGAAGAAAGGGGCTCAGAGGGCCCAGCAGAGCATGCGTCTGCGGGCTACAAGCAGGAGTAAAGAGAACCACACTCACATAGATTCTCGTGGGGTCAAACGGGCAGTCAGAGTATCCAGAGCCCTGGTCCTGCGGTAGCCGGTGGCAGTCAGCCAGAAGCCGACTGCCACCATTGGCCACTGTGAGCGCCACGGCCAGGAGGAGACCCAAGGAGCAGGCGGCAGACACGAGCAGGTTCACCAGCGCGAGCGCCAGCAGGGCCCAGTGCTGGCAGGGACGGAAGAGCAGCTTGGACCTGGCTTAATCTCAAGGACTACACGCCTCCATTTCTCCCTGTGAGGCTCCTCTTGCCGCCCTCTCCAGCCCCGTTTCTCAGTAGCCCCCTCTCTCACCAATGGCGGGCGAAGAAGGTTCTTGGAAGTCAAGAGGGCCACAAGTCCCACGGAAACACTCTGTGAAAGACACCAAGCCTGTGGCCTGCTGGGTTCCCGGCGCGCGCGCCCTCCCGCCCGCCCATCCGTGCGCTCACCAGCAGCCCCGAACCCACGGAGATGATATTGGCGGTGGTATACTCGGGCGTCACGGCTCCGTGCGGATTGGCCACGTGCCGCAGGACGGTGCCATGCAGCACGGCTCCCAGCAGCAGGTTCACGTGGCCCACCAGGATCAGCGCGAGGCCCACGCGCATCAACCGCCGGGGCCCCCGGGCGGCGTCTGCAAAGCACCGGGAAAGGGCAGGCCTGAGCCTGGCGCTTGGGCGCCAGCGGCCCCGGCTCGAGGCGCCGGGCAGAGCGTGGGCCGTGCGCCGGGCACCCGCACTGGCAGGGGAAGGAGGAGAAAGTTACCGAAAGTGCAGACGCCGCAGGCCCGCATCCCGACCCGCCGCCCCGCGCCGACGGCCCCGGCAGTCTACCTGGGCCCTGGCGCCGCCCTCCGCCCCGCGGCTCGGCCCGCCCAGGCCACCTGAGGCCCTCCGCCCCGCGGCTCGGCCCGCCCAGGCCACCTGAGGCCCTCCGCCCCGCGGCTCGGCCCGCCCAGGCCAACCAGGACCCAACCCCCGCCGGCCGCCGGCTCCCCCTGGCGGGCCCGGGGCGCGTGTGCACACACCCCACGAACACCTCCAGCATGCAGTACTCCCCCCATACACACACCACACCTCCACATACCTCACACTACACCCCCATACATCATACACCCCACATGCACACCTCACACACACTGCCTGCACATTCATACCCCCATACACCTCACGCTACACTCCCACACATCACATACACCCCACCCCTGCACACACATTCGCATACCCCACATACAATCCTTACATCACACCCTACCTTCCCATACCACACACACTACACCCACACACCATACATACCCCATATACACCATACTACACCCCCACCCTTCTACACACGCACAACTTTTGATAATATGCCCCTGCCCCACACTCCCTCCCCCACTACACACACAACACCCATAGCAAAAAGTAGACTTTTATTACAGCAGCAACTGAGGCAAATCGAATGGCCCCCCCAGGGCCACCCCTGCAGCACCACCTCACTCTCCCGCCCACCCATCTTCCACAGTGGGATTGTAGAAGTCAGCCCCCCCCTCGTGACCGTGGGCCTCCTGTCCACACAGGCTGGGCAGGGGCTGGCAGGGCAGCTCCTGGCTCCCAGCTAGAAGGCGGCTGCTGAGAAGGCCCAGGCCCATGTCTGTGCAAAACACGTAAACAAAGTGCAGAGGGGAGGAAGAGGGGGCGAAGGGCAGGATGACGCTCAGGACCAGGGAGCCCCCAAAGCCCTCCTGCATAGTGAAGGAGAGAAGGGTAATACTGACTGGGGGGAGGGGGCAGGAGGACTGCAGCAGTCCAAGACAGCCACAGCGCAGCAGAGGGACCTGGCCCCAGGCAGCTCTAGGAGGAGACTGTGACAGCGGCGGAGTTGAGCGTACTGTTCCTGGCAAAGTTGAACTTGTTCAGGGTCTCCTCCAGCAGAGAAGTCAGCCGGCTCTGGTCAGCCTGGGGGAGAGGAGCCGGTGAGAGGGGCCAGGAGACGAGGCCCCAGGGCCGCCAGGGTGTGGGAGGAGAGCCTCACCTCACTGATGAAGCCCAGCTGCACCAGCTCCGCCGCCAACTCCGGGATGTTCTCATCTGCCGGCCAAACAGCACGGGGTGAGTGACAGGTGGGGGTGAGCCAGGAGCCCCCCAGGTGGCCCAGACAGGCAGATCTGCCAGCCCATCCACTTCATTTCCAGGGCTCAGACCCTTGTTCTGAATGAGTCGGTGTTGCTGCCCGTCATTGCCCCCCCAGAACATGCCCTCAGAGCCACAGCTCTCAGACTCTCCAGCCCCCGAGGAAAGGAGAGACTCACTTGGCATCAGGTCACAGCTCAGGTGCCGGTTCAGTTTGTCCTCCAGCTTCAGCAGAAGCGTCAGCTGGAGAACAGGACAGTCAAAGTAGGGCTCGTCCTACCTACCCACTAGCCACCCAGCCCGCGCAGCCCTAGCGCTGAGCCTTACGTGGTGCTTGACGCCCTCCTCCACAGACTCAATGTTGCACTGCATCAGCACCACCTAGGAAAGAAGAGACAAAGGGTTAGCCCTAGGGAGAGCAACCTCGTCAGTACACAAAAAAACCCAGTTAAAGACCTGTGAGGAGAAACCCTAACGCCGGGCAGCCTTTCCAGCCACAGGCGTGGCTGCCAGGAGACAGAAACACTCCTGTTCCCTGGAGGATGAAGCCTCACTGGACATGTCCACCCTCCCTCCCATGCAGACCACGCACACATCCACACTCTTAGCCCCCACCTTGCGGGTCTCCACCTCAGTGGGCTCAGGTGTTGGCGTCTTCACAGAGGGGGGCACAACAGGAGATGTCACTTCCTCCTGCTGCGGCTGCTGTGGCCGAGGCAGTCCAAAGGCTGTCAGAGGGTAGATCCCATTCCTGGTAAGAGAAGAAGATGGGTCACCTGGGCTCTGAGAACCCCTTAGGTACCTCAGGAAAGCCTGCCTCCCTACCCTTTTCTCACCTGACATCTTCAAGGAATTTATCTAATTCCAGAGCCGGAGACTGAGAGTACCTGAAGGAGAAAGGAGAGAAAGCTGCAAAGATGCAAACTACACCGCAGCTGCATCACTCCCTGAGAAGGGCCTGTCCCCGAAGCCTCGAGAAGCAGGCTGTCCCTCTCAGAGCCCCGGACAGTCACTCACAACGTCTGAACTGGCTCTCTTCCTGGTCCCGCGGGGATTTCAGCCAGGACAGCGCTGGTGTCCATGTTTTTGGTGATCTCCTCCAAAGCGTTCTCTGGGATCATGTCTAGAGGTCATGTCAGGGAAGAATACTCAGGTCAGGGCAGGGCAGGGTGGAGCCACAGTGGTTAAGAAGAGACTGGGACCACGGAACTCACGCTGGTGTCCAACGATGCAGTGGGCAGCGAGGAGTTTAAGGGAGGGCACTTCAAACAGCGCTGGGTGGAACAGAAGTTCTCTGGCTGTGGGTCTGCGAGCGGGCTCAGGCTGCAGGCACTTCTGAATGAACTCCTGGAAAAGAGCAGAAAGATCTGGAGCAAACATCCAGCAAGCCACCCACTATGTTCACGTCTGTTAATTCTCATCTACTGAGCACAACGCTTACTGGGTACTCAGCACCTGCCAAAAAAGCAATCTGATAAACACACCTGAAATGGCTTTGAAAATATGTAAGGTTTTATGTGTGATATCATTCACAGCCTGGTTTTTTCTGCTCCCAAATCATGTTCTCCTTTAATGTTAAAATAATGTTTTTGTGTTTTGTTTTTAATGTTCACGTTAGTTTGTCCACCATATGATTACATTCACTGGATTTCCTATAGTTCTTCCAATCATTCCACTCCATCTGTTGCCCAACTTTCAGCCTTCGAGGCCAAAAAAGTAACCTGTCTAATATTTAGGTGGAATATTCCATCCTAATGCTAAATTGGATAACACTCCATCCTGTCCTTAGGACTTCCCCTAGTCTTTGAAAAAATCTTTTAATTTACATATATTTTTATTGGAAAGGCAGATTTACAGAGAGAAGGAGAAACAAAGATCTTCCATCTCCTGGTTCACTCCCCAAACGGCCACAACAACCAGAGCTGAGCCAATCCAAAGCCAGGAGCCCCCTCCATGTTTCCCACACAGATACAGGATCTCAAGGACTTGGCTATCTTCCACTGGTTTTCCAGGCCACAAGCAGGGTGGTGGATAGGAAGTGGAACAGCTGGGACACAAACTGTGCCCACAGGCACTCCAGGCAGAGAATTAGCCTGATCTACCACTGTATTAGCCACTAACACATCACTTCTAATTATGCTGGAGTGGTTTTTATTTATTTATTTATTTTTATTGGAAAGGTAGATCAGATTTTACACAGAAAGATCCTCTATCCACAAATGGCCACAACAATTGGAACCGAGCTGACTAGAAGCCAGGAGCCAAAAGCTTCCTCCAGGTCTCCCATGTGAGTGCAGGATCCCAAGGACTTGACTTAGGCCATCCTCCATGCCTTCCCAGGCCATAAAGCAGGGAGCTTAACGGAAAGTAGAGCAGCCAGGACATGAACCAGATCCCATATGGGATCCTGGCATTTGCTAGATGAGATTTAGCCATTGAACCATCACACCAGGCCCTTATCACTGTCAATGGAGGTGTTAGCTATCTTAACCCCTAATCTATGTGTATATACACAAAAACTTACATACTTCCTAGGAAATTTGGTGTTTGCTATATATTCTCTTACTCTAGGAAGATCAGGAGCCAGCATGGTGGATTAGTAGGCTAATCCTTCATCTACAGCACCAATTCAAGTCCCAGCTGCTGCACTTCCAACACAGCTCCCTGCTAATGGCCTAGGAAAGCACTGGAGGATGGCTCAATTCCTTGATCTCCTATACCCACATGGAAGACCAAGAAGAAGCTCCTGGCTCCCAGCTTCAGATTGGCTCAGCTCTGGCAACTGATGCCTTTTGGGGAGTGAACCAGTTAATGGAAGAACTCTGTTTTTCCTCTCTCTCTAAATCTTTCAAGTAAAAACAAATCTTTAATGAGGGAGTCTTCAAAAAAAGCTTATGGAAATATGTATTATAAAAAGACTATGGATGGATTTCAAAAACTTTTTTTCACCAAGGCTCGTGTTGTCACATAACAACTAAAGCCACTGCCTGCAATGCCAGCATCCTGTATGGACACTGATTCGAGTCCCAGCTGCTCTATTTCTAATCCAGTTCCCAGTTAACATGCCTGGGAAACTAGAAAAGGAAGGTCCAAGTGTTTGGGACCCTGAAATATGTGGGAGACCTGAATAAAGCTCCTGGCTTCAGCCTAGCCCAACCCTGGCCATTGTAGCCATCTGTGGAATAAACTAGCAGTTGGATGATTTTGTCTGCTCCTGTCTCTAAATAAATCAATCTTTAAAAAAATTTTTTTACACCAAAAAAAAATTTTTTTTGTCCTTTTCCCAGAGAAAATGAGAGATTACATGAGAGAGAAAGACAGAGGGACCTCCCATCCACTGATTCACCACTCTCCCCCAGTCCCACCAAATGGCAGCAACCATTTGCTGGATAGGCAAGGCTAAAATGCAATGCAAGCCTCCCCGTGGTTGGTAGGGACCAGTCCTTAAGCTGGCACCTGTTAATGCAGACCCTGGAATTAAGAGCCAAAGCCAGGACAAGGTGTTCAAGTGTGGCATGTGGACCTAACCTGCATATTACCCTGTGGGAAAGATTTTAATTCCATTTCTTCACATACATTTTGAAGAATCTCATATTCTAGGTAGAAAGGAAGAAACTCTTGGGGCCTACGTTGTGGCAGAGCAAGTTAAACAATGTGCCTCATATGGATATCAGTTCAAGTATCAGCCTCTACATTTCTGATCCAGCTCCCTGATAATGCACCTGGGGTAAACAGCAGA